GAAGAGGACGCATGACCCCAGAGACACTGGGGCACACACTCACAGGGGACAGACCGTGTCACAGAGGACAGACCGTGTGGGGACCCAGCAAGAAGGCAGCCCTCGGAAAGCTGAGGACCCAGAAGAACCAACCCTGTGGGCACCTTGATCATGAACTTCCAGCCTCCAGAACTGGGAGAGAAGACATTTCTGCGGTTTAGGCCACCTGGGCTGTGGTGCCGTGTTATGGCAGCCCTGGCAAACCAACACACGGTCACGTCTGAGACCCCGTCCACCCCTCCAGCCTGGAGTCTCCTCTCATCCCTGCACCACCATCTGCAGCCGGGGGAGATTCTGCTCAGTAGCTCAAGCTCACCGTCCCCTCTTTGCACTGGGTTAGAATCCTAGCTTTGCCGTTAACTAGCTATGTGGTCTTGACTGAATCACTTAATTTTCCTGAGCCTCAGTTTTCTCATCTGTATAATGGCAGTAATCATCAGAGTAAGGGTGAGGTGAGGTGCTTGGTACTGTTCTCTGCTCCTGATACATATCTTCTCTCCTCCTCCTTCTCTGCCTCTCAGTGATTGGGTCTCAGCTCAGATGTCACCTCCAGCAGGAAGCCTTCCTTGGTTTGTCTAGGTCGGGATTAGGCTCTCTCCCAGGAGGTTCTAAAGCATCTCCATCCTTACAATGTGTCCCCTTGTCCCTACATTTCATGTGCCTGCTCTCTTGTAACGACCTGTCTCTCTAGCCCACGAGCTGGCAAGCTACAGAGTCTTGTCCACTACAGGTAACACTGTGCCGGGCACAGAGTAGGCTCAGTATGTTTCTGGTTACTGAATAGAAGAAGGCAGGAATAAATTGGATAAGACCTGACATTTTCTAGATAAGCTGTCTTGGGCACAATTCTTACACGAACCATGGAAATAACAAAGGGCAGTAGCAACAATAACAACGAAAAAAATAATGATGATGATAACAATAATAGTAACACTTCCTGCAGAGCACATACTCTGTGCTAGACACTGTTTTAAGTGCTCTACATCCATTTACTAACGTCATTCTTACAACAATCCTGTGAGGAAGGTACTATTAGCATCCCCATTTTTCAGGTGAAGAAACTGAGGCCATGTAACTTGTCCAAGGTCCAAAAAGGCAGCCTACGACAGAGCTGGAATCTGAGCCCAGACAGTCTGGCTCCTGAATCTGTGCTTTAACTCTGATTTTGATGTGTAGGGCGCTCCTTCCTTTTCCACCAGGAAAGGGTTTCCTCTAGTGGGTCTGGACCTTTTTCTCTGTTTACAAAAAGTGCCTTACAAAGCCTGCACACAAATGTTTATAGCGGCTTTGTTCATAACTGCCAAAACTTGGAAGCAACCAAGATGTCCTTTAGACATAAATAAACTGTGGTCCATCCAGACAATGGACTCTATTATTCAGCGCTAGAAAGAAATGAGCTATTAAGCCATGAAAAGCCAAGGAGAAACCTCAAAAGCATATTACTCAGTGAAAAAAGGCAGTCTGGAAAGGCTACCTACTGTACAAGCCCAACTCTATGACGTTCTGGAAAAGGACAAAACTGTGGGAAAAAATAACAGGATCAGTGGTTGCTAGGGGTTGGGGAGGGGGAGAGGGATGAACAGGCAGAGAGCACGGAGGATTCTTAGGGCAGTGAAAAGACAATACTGCAATGGCGGATACATGTCACTGTACGTTCATCCAAGCCCACAGAATGTACATCACCAAGAGAGAGCCCTAAGGTGAACTCCAGGCTCTGGGTGATAATGATGTGTCAGTGTCGGTTCATCAGCTGTAACAAACATCCCGCTCTGGTGGAGGATGTTGATAGCGGCGGGGCGGGGTGGACGACTGTGCAGACGCAGGGGGCATATGGGAAAGATCTGTTCCTTCCACTCAGTTTTGCTCTGAATCTAAAACTGCTCTAAACACACACACACACACACACACACACACACACAAAACCCAATGGTCTCTCATCTAATGTGCAGTGAAACAAACTGATAAAGAGAAAGGAAGAAAGAGCCACAGAAACATGCTTGATATAAACTGGTCCTTTCTCATAATGATTGTATGTCAAGTCAAAGCACAGTATCTTGGATTTTATCAAATTAAAAGAGAAAGTGTTTGTTTTGTTAAATGTGGGGCATAAGAGATGAAAATGCTGACTGGGATGCACAAAGCCTGCTTCTAAAATCCCTGGGCTCAGAAAAAAATTCCAGGCAAGAGCCCAGCGGTCAGTGCACCTGAGAAGGCCACCCTATTGAAACTGCCACAGAATACGAGTGGGCGCGAACGGCCCTGAGAAGAAAACAGCGTTTCCTCCCTTTTACTAAGAGAAATCGGAAAATGCTTACAAAGCTGTTCCGAGCACCCCATGCTGACCGCCAAGGGCGAACCTGGACCATGGCTGTGGTCACTGCTTTTGCTGCACAGATCCTTCAGAGAAGCTGTGAGGGACAGCAACTCAGAGAGGAAAGGAGGGGCTGTCCTCATTCCTACAGACCACCCCCAACGTCTCCTTTTTAAAGAGATAAAAGTCAAGTCTTCCTCGGCATGATTGAATTGATCCCCATACAGTCAATGCAGAATTTTCGGCCAGTTTTGGATCAGTTGCACTGGGACTGAAGGGACTGACCAGACTCTGATCCACCTCTGCTGATGTGAAGACTGAGAACGTGAGGACCGACCGGGCAGGCTCTGCCCTGACATCTTTGGGTAGACTGATGATAAAGCTGCCCGGAATCTCCACCCATCCCTGCATCCACACACCCTACGTTGTGATCCTGCCTCTCTGGAGTCTTTCTTTGCCCCATTCCTCCCTCATTTCTGGGCAGGCTTGATGTCTTGCTTTGGCTAAAAGAATGGGGTGGAGAGGTCATCGGATCCAGGCTGAGCCTAAGCCTTAAGAGGCTTTGGGTGCTTAGGCTCTTGTCCTTGGAACCCCTCCCAACTGCCATGGAACCACCTGGGCTCGCCTGCCACATGATGAGAGTGACTGTCGCTCCTGTCACCCCAGCCAACAGCCAACCAACCAACCGACCTGGGCATGAGGCCACCCTATCGGGGCCAACCTCCAGCCTAGCCATCAGCTGGGTGCACACACATACGTAAGCCCAGACAGGACTGACTGAATGGATTTGGACCAACAGAACCACCCAGCTGACCTGCAGACTTGTGAACAACAGTAAATGGTTGCTGTTTTAAACCACTCTACTTTGAGGTGGTCTGTAATATAGCAATGGATTACTGATGCAGCTGGAGCTTTTAACAGCTAAGGAGAAGAAAGGGCAGCCTTCAGTCTAGGGCGGGAGCGTATGCCTGTGTTTGCAAGTAAAACTTCGCTGGAACACAGCCAATCCACTCATTGTAGCTTTCATGCTGCAACAACAAAGTTAAGTACAGTCAATCCTCCGCATCTGTGGATATGGAGGGCCGACTGTACGACCCTATTTTGTCCTCGTAAGAGGCTTGCGCATTGCAGACTTGGGTATCTGCAAAAGGTCCTGGAACCAATTCCCCGCAGATACCTAGGGATGATTGTAGTTCCAAGAGAGACCATCTGGTCTGCAAAGCCTAAAACGTCTACTATCTGTTCCTTTAAGAAGAAGATTGCTGATCCTCGGTTTACATAAGAAATAACAAATAATGACTGCCACCACGGTGATACCCACCATCACCGCCACCACCACCATCATCATCTAACAAACCTGATACAAAGACCTGACTTGAGAGTGAGGAGGTCACAACTCCTGTTGTGAGAATTTTGGCAGGTTCTGTCCTCTGTCTGAGCTTCAGTTTCCCCATCTGGCACGGAAGGAAGATGAGCAAGAAACTCTCCAGTCACTTCCGCAGTTGACTTAAAGCTCAACTTGCTAAGGTCAAAAGAACGGGGGTGGGGCCCAGGAACGTGCACTTCCCAGGCACTTCCTCATTTCACCACCCCTCCCAGCCCTGATGATCCAGATCCAAGCGCATGTCCAAGAACCACTGACTTGCTCCATTTGGTTTCAGAGGGCTTGTCCGTGGGAGAGATAGGCAGAAGTGCAGGTGTTCCCAAGGGACATGAGGAGACGATGTAGAGCCTATTTTTGCAAGGAGATGTTTTAAGAACATCAAGCTGAGGCTGCCGGTTGGAATGTCCCTGGACAAGAAAGGGAAGCAAGACGTCAAGGTTTGGAAAGCCAGAGTATTCTCTGGAGGGCTGATTAGCCCCTGCTACACCAGGCAATGATGAGTTTATTCCTGGAGTCTGGTTGGAAGGCGGCAGGGGCTTCTCTGGGAAAGAGCTCCCTGATTTCCTTGAAAATGTGTTCCCCAAGCCCCGGTGGAGACATTTGCTGTGCGCGGGCTGGAGACAGATTTTCTCAGGCTTTGCAAACTATTTGACATCAGGGCGTCTGGGTTGGTAAGGAATGGAATGACTCCGTCCCAGCTGAATTGCCACTTAGCTCTAAAGCAGCATGTCTGCTTTCCGTTATTTTTATATGCCAAATAGTGCTGCCAGCTCCAGGCTTGCTGTCTCTTTCAAGAGGACAAAGGAACAGCTCAAGAGTTCCTGACGCGTTAGCTGGCTGTCATTTCACCTTGGCTTCGAATGATAAACTAGCGAGACTCTACTTACACGTGAGCCTTTGGCAGCAAGGGCGCAATGATGCAGCTGTGCACAGGGATGAACGGCTGGAGGATGACTCCAGCCCCCATCTTCTTTGTCCTCTCATCCCCGTAGGTGCTGAAGACAAAGCAGAACAAGAGAAGAAGGGTGAACCGCGAGGAGCAGTGTTAAATGTCTTCTTCTCTCGCCAGGGCTTCTTTGGTAAATATCACTGGGCATCCACTGGCCCACCTACATTGGGCCAGGCAGTAATCCCAGCTGGAGAGATGAAGATTCTAGACGTAGCCCTGAACAGAGCATAGAAAAACCCCTTCTCCTGTGGAAGCCATATTCTAGTGGAGGAGCAAAGAGAATAAATAAGATAAATAGGGACATTGTGTGGTATACTAACATACTAAATAAACTAGGGGTTGAAAATGTTTTCTTAAGGGCTAGACACATATTTACAACTTTGTGGGACACAAAGTCGGTCCACATCACAAACACTTAGTAGCACGAAAGCAGGCACTAATGGTACGTAAATAATAAGTAAATGGCAGTGTTCCAATAAAACTTCATGAAACCAATCTGGGGGCTGGATTTGGCCCATTGGCTGGCGTTTGCTGACCATCCCTCCCCGGTGCCCCGTACTAGATAATGAAACATGCTATGGAAAGAAAAAAAAACAGAGAAGGGGGTTCAGAAAGGGCTGGGAATTTCAATTTTAAAGAGAGTGATTGGGGAAGGCATCACAGAGAAGGTAACATTTGATCAGAATCTGCAGAGTGAAAGGGAGTGAGCCATTCAGATGTCTGGGGGCAGAGCATTCTGGATAGAGGGAACAGCAGGTGCAAATGTCCTGAGGAGGGACTGTGTTTTAGAGGCGGCAAGGAGGCACGTGTGCTGGAGTGGAGTGAGCAACAGAAAGAGGAGGGAGGGAAGTGTGCAGAGAGAACGGGGTCTTGCAGATCATTGCAAGGACTTTGGCCTCTTCTCTGAATGAGAGTAAAGGGTTGTGAGCTGGGAGAAGACATGCTCTGACTTGCATTTACAGAGAATTCCTCTGGCTTCCATTTTGAGAATGGCCAATGGTAGAGGCAGAGGGCAAGGAGACCAATGAGAAGTACTGTCATAATTTCAGCTTGAGAGAGGCAGGTAGCTCCCACCAAGGTGCTAGCAACGGGGATGGGGAGAGGCAGAAATGGTGGGATGGACACAGGGAAGCAACTGCCTGTGGCTTTTGTTTTCGATCCTTTCCTTAAAGAGGCTTCTCCCAACTCTACAGACTGCTGATTGCTCCACAGAGAATCCCAAAGCCTCCTCTGAAGCCAAAACCATCTGGGGAGATGGGAGGGGGAGAGGGAGGGGGGCAATGCTTAGAGAGGAGAGAAACAGCCCAAAGAGGCAGTTCATCTTTGAAACCACTGGACATTTACCTGAAAAAGCCTATTTCAAAGTGAAAAAGATGTTTACATCCAATACCATAGTTGAGTTTTTTCCAACACCATCATGGAGGAAGCCATTTCAGTACTAGAAAATAGTTTTTTTTTTCCTTTTTGGCATGCCTGAGTCATAAGGTATAGATTTTTTGCCCATGACCAAATATAACCCATAGACACATTTTCATAAGCCTACTGTGTGTGTGTAATACAATCGACTGTCTCTATTTTAAAATTGGGAGATGTCAAATAAAAATGGAAAAGCTTTGGTTCCTGAAGACTCAAAAGTTCTTGCCACACTGGGCAAGAGTAAGGTGGGGCCCAAGATCAAGATCGCTGCCCACCTTGCACGAGGTGTTGTGTCTCGGGTGGTCCGAGACTCAAGAACCCTGGCATCTCCCTACCAGCCTGCCTTACGCAGTCACGCTACCTGCCTGTTCCTTTAAAGCCTTTTAGTTTCCGAGCCTAAGTACTTGAACATTGACCAAATCATCGACAGGTTCCCTGTTCATTCATTTCTACCTGTTTTTATTGAACATCTCTGTGCTGGGGGCTGTGGATGCAGCAATGAAGGAGACAGATCCAGCCCCTCCCCTCCGGAGTTTAGAGTCTCGCCAGGGAGATGGACTTCACACAAAGGAGGTGGTGATAAGGCTGAGTGGAAGAGTGTGTGGTGTTTTGATGCCCAAATAGGGAATTTGGCTGAAATGGAGTCAGGGACCACTTCTCGGAGGGAGTTGTGTCAATTTAGAAACACGTGTCCCAGGTTTCTTCCTATGGGAAGGTGACTTCTTGGTCCACTGAAACCTTGGTTCTGTGAGTGGCTGGGCCAATAGAATGTGCCAGAAGTGGTGTGATGCCAATTCCTGGGCCAAAGCTCCAGGAACTGGCAGCTTTTCCTTCCTGGATCTTGGGAAGCCCTGTCTTAGCATCTAGCCACCGCCATGCTGGGAGGAAGCTGGCAGCTTGTGCAGACACTCCCAGGGGAAGGAACCGAGGCCACTGGACCTTGGCCCGCCCTGAGCTGCCACCCATGTGAATGAGCCATCTTGGAAACGGACTCTTGGGGCTGCCCCAGCTAGAGCTGGAGACAATCCTCCCCCCACTGAATCCTGCTCAAATTGCAGACTTGTGAGTGAAATCCACATCTGTTGTTTTGAGTTAATAGGTTTTGGAGTGGTTGCTCACAGCAACGGTAACTGGAACAAAAGTAAATGCTCATCTGCAAAACAGAAACAGACTCCCAGACATAGTAAACGGGGCGGCGGTGGGGGGAAGGGAGTGGGAAGGGATAAATTTGGGAGTTTGAGATTTGGAAATGTAAGCCATTATATATAAAAATAGATT